AAAAATATATTATTATTATTATTATTATTATTATTATTATTATTATTATTATTATTATTATTATTATTATTATTTAAAATAATTTAACGTGATTTACTTATTAAAAAAAATTTTTTTAGGTTGATGCATCGACCGTAGTTGCTTACAATCCATCAATAAGTAAAAATTATAATAATAAAAATAATGATAAGAATAATGGGTAAATATTTAATTTTTTTTAACAACAAATTCAAATTTTACATTTCGTCGTACATATTTTTGTTATTTAAATTTTAGGGATATCGATTTATTGAGTTCCAATGCGTTGATGATACCAAGCGAAGGAATCAGGGGTAAAATGTTATGGAAGGTAAAAGAAAAAAAAAAAAAAAAATTTTTTAACGGAAAAAACTAAATTTCAACATAATAAAAAATTAATTAATTATTTATTTATTTATTTATTTAAGGTGGATAATAATGATAATAATTCAAAAGCAAATTTCGTTTTAACAGAAGCAACATTTACCAATTTTGTTATTAGTCCCAGTTATAGAAATATTTGTCCTCCTCAATATTACGTTGTATCATCCGTTTGTCACAACATGTCGCCTCTAAGTCCGGTAAATATTTAAATAAAATATTTTTTATAATAACAATAATAATAATAATATTGTATTTTGAAATTCAAATCGGTAGGAGGAAGGTTTTCAATTGGAAATGTTTTGTTTAATTTTCAGTTTCCCAGAGAAGAATTCGAAGATTTTCGTTCTTATTACCGTGTAAAATATGATGCCGAGATAACAAATTTAGAACAACCTCTTTTAAAAGTTAGCAGACTACCCAATTGTTTAAATTTTAACAAGCCAAGAATAAACGATAATAAATCAATGGATAAATTTTCGGTGATTTATTTCAAATTTAAATTTTTTTTCGTATTCGAAAAAAAAAAATATTAGTTTAACTTTAATTTTTTTTTGTTTGTTTAAGAATAAAAAAAAAGATCACGAAGAACTTTTTGTACCGGAACTTTGTAACGTTTATCCATTTTTAAATAGTTTTTGGATCAAAGCCGTCTTCTTACCCACAATTCTTAATCGCATTATTTGGATTTATCGAATCGACGAATTGAGGAGAAGAATGAATGAAGAAAATAATTTGATTGAAAAACAATTATTGAATTCAAATTTGAAACCTTTAATACTAAAAGATGTTTTCCATAAAACTTCGTCCCACGAGGAAAACGATTCGATTGATTCGGTTAAATAATTTTATTTTATTTAAAAAAAAAAAATGCACGTGATTTTAAATCGTAACGTTTGGATAATTTTTTTTTTTTTTTTTTTTTTTTTTAGAGACCCATCCCCGATTTGCCTTTGACGTATTTAAAAGAAAAAATATTAGAAAAAAAAAATAAGGAATTGATAATACCGGAAGAAAATTTATATAACGTCGGATTATGCGATTTGGAAAATCATTTAAAAAATTATTTAAACGACGACGACGATAACGACGACAAACAACAGAGGAGGGGAAGGATTCCATTCGAAGAAATCAA